TAGAGAGGCTGGTGAGTCTTTTGGCGGTAGTAGATCAGATTTTGGTGGTCGAAGTTGGCCAGAATTGGATTTGAAAGTGGCAATTAAGGGTAGAAATAAGCGCAAAACTGATGACAAAGAGGAGATATGGAGAGAAAAGGAGGTGTGGGCTTTGTAAATGAGGTTGTGAGGAGTCTCTAGGTGGTCTTGGAAGGGATTTTGGATGCCAGAATAGGCTAAAAAAAAAAAAAAAAAAGAACCACCGACTGTGATGTTGCTAACGTGAGCCACACCCCCCCCCCCCCCCCCCCCCTAAACATGCGCCTCTCTCTATTCAAGCTATATTCGGCCGATTCTAACAACCAAAATCGCTCTGATCACCACCCACATACTCATCGACCCTTCTCCTACAAAACCCCATAGTTTCCAAACCTTGATTGCTTTCCTGACACCACTGATTTCTGATGCAGAAATTTGGTTGTGTTGCGATCGCCAATGATTGAGGGTTAACCTTTGGTGGGGTTATTTTTGTCCTCACAATGAACTTAATGAAAATTTTTAAAGGAAAATAATTTTTAGGTGATAAAATGATATCTTAAAGTCAGAAGGTGGAAATGGGTGGAAATGTGTTATTAAACCATTTTTTGGGCGGTATAATATATAGCACTGGAAGCTTTATTCCGGTGTTTAAAAAAAAAAAAAAAAAAAGGCCTATCTCTACGGGAAGCTTGCGTCAAGAAAGGCTTTCTTATGATAAGGCCTTTTCCTACACAATCATACGTCACAATAGCCTTACAAGCTTTGGTCTGATGCTAATTAGTGTAGAGACGTTTGTGTCTAGTCAATAAAGGAATCAGTAGTTTGTTAAGCTGATTGCTATTACGCCAAGCTTTTGGACAGTATGTGTAGCAGCAGATACTTATAAACTGTTTAATAAAAAGTCGATGTTTCTAGAAGTTTATAAACTTCTTTATGGTATCAGAGCCACTAAGAAATTTCCTGGCAATTCTCCGTTACCAAACATAAATATTTTCTTAGAAAATCTTCAAAATTCTGTGAAACAACAAGATGAAGTTCTTAGATTAACATCGCAAGCTCTTACTGCTCAGGTTACATCGCTTTCTTCTCTTACTCCTTCCAGTTTGGCTCCAATTACACTAAAACTTGCTCAGAAAAACTATACCTACTGGTGTCCACCAGTAGTTTCTGCTGTCCGCGCATTTGATCTTGAGCAGTTTCTTACCGCGTCTAAACTCATGTGAATTTGTTTCAATAACTACTAGTAATGGGTCTGTTGTTACCAGACTGAATCCAGTATTTGCTGCTTGGTGTAGAATGGATCAATTGTTATTGAATTAGCTGATTTCTTCTACGTCTGAACCTATGATATCGGGATTACTTTGGAAAAACTAAACATCAATCAAGCCAAGTCACAAGTAATGCATCTAAGGCATCTACTTCAAACCACTACTAAAGGATCACTATCTGTTCAAGAATATGTCCAAAAGATGAAGGATGTTGTAGACATGCTGTATGCTTCAAGCACTTAGATCTCAGATTCAGAGCTTATTTTGCATATTTAAGGTGGTTTGGGGCCCGAATTTGATGTCGCCGTTAATTTGACCTTTTTGGCTTCTCGTTGTGAATCGTTTACGTTAGAAGAAGCTCAACTCCAAGCGTATGAGAATTGATAAGCTAGACAACAGTCTCTTTACTCTTCTGATGTACGTGGCAGCTTAGCTCTTTATGCCGCCACAAAGCTTCCTCCTCCTCCTCAGTTTACCCAATCTGCTTCTCAATTTTCTTCACGAGGAGTTCGCCGTCGTGGCAGATTTGGTGGTGGCGGTTTGTCAACTCTACAGCAAACCTGGTCATGTTGTTCTGCATTGCTATCATAGATTCGACATCTGTTTTCAGGGCCCTACGGCAGTCACTCAAGCAGATACTCATCAATCGTTAAGTTTTTCATTTTAATAAACGGTTGAAGTTTTCTGGAAGTTTCTTTAGGGACAAGTCTATTTAGGCTTTTTATTTTTTAATATCTAATAGCTTAAATTTAGTTTAAATTTTAATAATTTACAAAAGCTAACCCAAAAAAAAAAAAAAAAAAAAAAAAAAAAAAAAGAAAACATAACCAAAATTTTGAATTCCATCCAATCTTCATCTTCAACTCTTACTTGATCTTCAAAAGATCTCCTATTGACAGCAAATTACACAAAAGAACTGATATTAGTATAAGAAATATACTTATAAATAAAATATAGTAAATGGTAACCACATATAGGAATAAGAAGCGAGTCGAGCAGTTCGCGAGCCACGTAAGCTCGACTCGTAAAAAGCTCGAAGTCAATCGAGTTGAGTTCAAGTGGCTCATTTAAGGGGTCGAGCCGAGTTCGATCTAGATGAAGCTCGGCTTGGTAGACTTGCGAGCCTCATCGTGCTCAGAGGGCCAAATCGCAAGTTTTGTAACTTTTTTATTTCAAGTTTTTAAAATGACAAACAACTCCCTTCTCACAATAAACTCAAAGCTTGTGCTCGAATACCCACCCATACCCGCGAGCTCGAGCTCGAGCTTAAGTATTCAAGCTCGAACGAGCTTGGCTCAAACTCAAACTTAACAATGTTCGTCACTAACCGAGCTCGAGTATCCAGATACTTGGCTCGATTCGTATACACCCCTAACCAAATATAACTAAAAAAAAAAAAAATTTAAGTATTTAGAATGTTTATAAATTATGTAAGAAAGAGGAGAGAAAGAGTAATAAAGAAAATAAATTTTTAGAATGTTAGAGAGAACTGTTGTTTTTTGCGACATAGTGAAATGTGTGTCCCTTTACTTTCTTCCAGAAAAAAATGTGGGAAAAATCTCGCATACATTTCAAAATAATAAAGATTGTCTTACAACTCAACTTTATAAACTTTCTTTCACAACTTTGACATGATAGCTCACAATTGGTTAGTTTGTAATTGGGTAACAGGACTCATAGTGAGCAAGCGAGACTCATTTTTGAACTAATCAATTGCTAGCTACCATGTCAAGATTGTGAGAGAAAATTTATGAGATTAAATTGTAAGTATAGTATTATATTATACATTTCAAAATTATTTAACTAAGTGAAATTTCAAACTTGTGTTACTATACGCACAAATTAATTGAGTTAGGTGCAAAAATTTTCCTTATCATCCCAAAAGTTAATTTCCTTGTAATTATTGTATATTTATTTTTATTTTAAAATAAAAATATATTTTAAATGATAAAATTTATTATGTTAAATAATTCATCAATATTATATTATTTTTGTATCTGCACCTAAAAAAAGTTTTTCGACCCTTTCGAAAAGAATTCCTGGTTTCCCAAGCCTCAAATTGGGACCTTGGCCTTGGATATGAGGGATATCAGACAGTATACATGCTCGCTCTAATTTGAGCCATTCAAAGCTATTACTCCACAGTTGACTTGTGAAATTCTCGTTTTACCCTTGTAACATAAACTTAATTACTTTAAAAGGGATTGATTTACCACTTCAAACATTGTTCGGAAAAAAAGTGACACTTGATTTTATTCTTATTCCGTTTTGATTTCAGATATTGCTCTTTAGTATAAATCAAAGTGTTGTGAATTTCTCTACTAATTCTAATTTATTCTTGTCTTGTTTTTCCTTTATTTTCTCTTTAATTATCATGTAATTTATTCTTACAATATGATTTCAGTTATTCTTTAACATAAAATAAAATGCTTTATCATGTAGGAAAAGTATAAAATAGATTTCACTATGACTTCTAAAATAACTAAAAAAAACTTTTAATTTCTTTCCTATAGTTTTTAAATCATATAGTTGTAATTCGAAATCATTAGTTAAATAATGGAAGGTGGAATAATTTGACTTCAATTTCACTTATCCAATCAAATAGTGCCCAACTATGGGTAGTATAATAGGACACGATAAATGCAATACAATTTATATAAAACTCATAACAAAAAATTAATAAAAATAAGCTCTTGATTTTAGAAAATATGTAGTATAATATAAAATGATACCAAGCATCTTATATAATTATGATTTAAGATCAAAATCCTCTCCTAATCTGAGATTACTTGAGTTTTTAAGGATCCCAAGACACTTATCTTTTTTTAGTTATTAGTTTTTAAGGATCTGAAGACACTTATCTTTTGTTTTTTATTTGTGGTTTAGAGTTTTTTGTCTGAGATATTCATATTTTGTAACTACCAATTTTATATAAAACTCATAACAAAAAGTTAATAAAAATATCTATTTTTATTTGATTTTATATTGTATGGGTCAAAAATCATCTTGGGCCTTATCAGGCCCAAGTAGGCAACTTTTACTATGTAGGCCCAAGGTTGTGCCCAATCTTGGTTGGGTCTACAACATAATTCGTGTCATGGGTCAAACCCACTGCCCAAACCAGCCTTTCTCCAGGTTGGACATCACCATTAGCCTACCTAGGGATAAACCCATTGGTTCATGATAACCTCTAGGGGGACAAAATCTCACTAAAACCCTAATACACTTACTTCTTATTTGGATTTTGTCCTAATTCACTCAAGATCTTGTATCTTATGTGAGTTAGGACTCTTGATCCTACTAAGGTAAGTAAATCAGAGATTTTCCTATTTAGCAGTACTCTGTCATTACGGATTCAAAGTCCTACTAGGATTCGAAAATCCTGTTACCACTATATAAAGAGGGGTCCTGCCTCTCATTAGGCATTCAATCTCAATACCACATATTTGCTCTTAAGAGTTATAAACCTACGTCATAATACATTCTAGTCTTCGACTAAACTTCTAGTAACCCTTTCTTCTCTTAGCCATTACTAAATAGTCATATTCAGTCTTACTGACTTGAGCGTCGCAGTGCTTACGACAAACACTACACCAGTGTGTTTAGCAGATTGTAACACAAATTCTCAAGGATACAATCTTGCATATTGACATCAAATCCCAAAGGGAAGACATGGTATCAACAGAATTCGTGACACAAATTAAAATACTTGAAATGTGTCCATCACTACTACTGCAAGTCAATGCGAAAACTGAAGAGGAAGAGATAGATTTAGAGAGTGGGCTAAAATCTGAGTGGGAGACGCTGCAGATGACCAATTATGAGAATAACACTGCATTACATGAGGCTGTGCGACATAAACGCTTCCATGTGGTAAAAATATTAACAGAGAAAGGAGACCCTGATTTTCATTATTCGGCTCATAATTTGGGGGAAACTCCACTCTATCTTGCTGCCGCCAGAGGATATAAGGATGACAGTATGGTGATACAAATATTAGAAAGATGCACGTCAGCAGCCCATGAAGGACCCAATGGAAAGACGGCTCTGCATGCGGCAGCCATCGCCTGTAGTTCAAGTAAGTTGATTTAAGTTCAAAATTTTCAAACTTTTATTCCAATAATTATTATTTTAATTAAAATTTTATAAAGATTATTAAATAAGACATAAAAGCTAACTGGTACAGTGTTGTTAATTTATTGTTTTGTTGTTTTAGGTACAGTAGAAAAGATATTAGAGAAAAAGAAGAGCTTGATAAAAGTCACCGATCAACATGGATGGACTCCACTTCATTATGCTGCATATTATGGTAACGATGTGGTAGAGTTGTTATTAAAAGGTGATAGATCTACTGCCTACATTGGTGACAAAGATCGGAGGATGACACCACTTCATATGGCAGCTGGCCGAGGGAATCTAAAAGCAATGAAAACAATTATTTCCAATTGTCCAGAATGTTACGAATTGGAGGATAATAGAGGTTGGAATGTTCTTCACTTTGCCATGCTGGGTTTAGATGAAGAGGATTTGAAACATCTTCTGAGAGAGAGTTCATTAATAAGGAGTCTTANAAGTATAAAAAAATATTAAGAAAAAAACATGTTTGATTGAAATTATTAGAAAAAGAAATCAAATTCATATGGTATAAAATAATTATTCTGGATACGGTGTGGTTAATTTATTATTTTGTTGTTTTAGATGCAGTAGAACAGATGTTAGAGAAAAAGAAGAGCTTGACAAAAGTCACTGATCAACATGGATGGACTCCACTTCATTATGCTGCATATTATCGTCGCCGATGGGAAAGCTCTCATGTGGTAGAATTGTTATTAAAATGTGATAGATCTACTGCCTACATTGGTGACAAAGATCGGAGGATGACACCACTTCATATGGCAGCTAGCCAAGGGCATGAAGAAGCAATTAATAGTATTATTTTCAATTGTCCAGATTGTTACGAATTGGAGGATGATAGAGGTTGGAATGTTCTTCACTTTGCCATGCTTAGTTTAAATAAAAAGGATTTGAAACATCTTCTGAGAGAGTGTTCATTAATAAGGAGTCTTATAAATAAGAAAGATGCAAAAGGTAACACTCCGTGTCATATCGGGGTAGTTGCCCGTCGATATTTCGTGTGTGGATGGGGCGACCGGAAGGCTGTCAACAACGAAAATGTCAGTGTGCTATACATATTAATGTACGGCTACTCTGAGCTAAAGGTAAATTTAATATAGCCTCCTTAATTCAGTATTATAAAAGTAATTATAGTTGGAACTAAGAAATTCATAAATTGGTTTATGTCAAAAAGAGGAATAGAATAAACTTTTGTGAACATTTCGCATAAACAAATTACAAGTTAATATCTCAAAAAAATTAGTATATATGATTAATGTATAAGAATGTATATATTCTAACGTATAATGATCAATGTTTACAGAAAGAAATTCAAGAATTGTCCAAAGATGTTGGTAAAGGAAATCAATATCCGAATGGTGTAATCCACATTAGAAAAGGAACAAAAATTGAGGATTTATCTGCAGAAGACGACAAGGAAACAAAAGCATCACATTTGGTAGTGGCTACACTCATAGCAACTGTAACCTTTGCTGCGGCTTTCACCTTTCCTGGTGGTTATAATAGTGATAATGGACTAAACCAAGGCACCGCAATTTTAGGTAGAAATTCAGCTTTTCAAGCGTTTATAATAACGGATACAATTGCCATGACCCTCTCCCTCTCTGCTGTTTTTATCCATCTTTTTTTGTCCTTTAAAGGTATCCATAAGTCGGAGGACCTGTTCCGTAGATTGTTGGGTATTGCCTTGATTCTCACCATTTTTGCCATGGGAGCAATGGTAATTGCATTTATTACAGGCACATATGCAGTGTTAGCACCTTCTTTAGGGCTGGCCATTACCACTTGTTTCATTGGCTTGATCTTCTTCCTTCTAGTGTTTTTCGTACTAAGATCAATCTTTAGAAAGTACAAATGATGATACTGATTTGAATAATTTGATTGTGTAACAAGAGTCATAAATGACATAAAGTCAGTGCTTTTCGAATACGCTTACTTGTGAAAAAATTTTCACTAATTTTCTACAAAGAAAAGAATGAGAAGAATATAAGCAACAAGTCATGAGAGATGATCCACATAGCAACAATCTTCTTTTCTTTATTATCTCTGTCTCTGTCCTTCAATTCACTCACTGCACAAGCCTTTAAGCTTTCTTCTTCTTTTCTTCTTTCTCACTTCTTTAATCTCTCATGTCTCTTTCATTATGTTAAATCTTATTAATCTCAATTCTTGATTAAACTTTTACTTTGTTTCTTCTAAACAAGAACTGTTCAACTCCTCTCCAAAATCCCAGGAACCAATCCAAAAACAAATATTCTGTTTTTTAGATCGTGTTTTCATCTCCTTTACCTCTATTCTTTCGCCCTGTTTCTTTCTCTTTCTCTTCTTTTCTTCTTCTTCGCCCCTTAAATTCTCCCTCTCAAACACTCCCAATCCATCCCCGCCCTCTCCCTCTTCCGCAAAATTCTCTTCTTTTCTGCATATAATATTTGTGCATAAAGTCATAAACTAACAACTCTCCATCGCTGGTTTTTTGGACATTGATTCATCTTAAACAAGTAATCAATAATACCCAAAGAAATCCTGCCTTTTTGTTTGCAAAGAACTATTCAGATGCATAGTTCTTACTTTGAATCAAAATAAAAATCAGTCTAAATTTGCTCATATTTCAAATGTAAACAAACATTTAATATATAACTGAACATAGATTCAAAGGTCGAAGCAAACGACCAACTTACAAAAAATTTATGGATTCTTTCACAGCATACACAATCGGGCTTCACAACTGCTTTATGAAACCTTTATTTATTAAAACTTTCAACTTACATTGCTCAGTCGGCGGAGGCGGCAGTCGGCAGGTGAAGAATCGAAAATCGAAAATCTGAAGAATGGCCACCAAAATGTTAGCAAGACGCGATGATAACGGAGGTTGAAAATCGGAAATCAAGGAATCAGTGATCTATCGAGGAACCCCTGGTGATGTTTTCGATTTGTCGGTGAATGGACAGCTGCCGTTTGGCAATCGACGGTAGTCGGTGACTCTTGGTGTAAGCACTGTTAACACTCTCAAGTCTCTCACTCGAAGTTGAAGGCGGCACACAGACACTTAGTTGAATGTTAGGGACCTAGGGTTTTACTAGGGATTTTACTATTTTAGGTCTTTTGTTATAAACCGGTTTAAAAAAAGGGTTACGGTTAACTGGTTTTTTTGAGGGGTTAACCGGTAACCAAACCGAAAAACCGGTTCACGGATTTTTTTCAAACCAAAATCGACCCAGTTTCAATAAAAAACCACTTTTTCGATTTGGTTTCAATCTTGTTTTTTTATTCGGTTCGGTTTCTGACTCTTTCCACCCCTAGATCTAACAGACATTTTGTCACCAAAACTTTCTCTATCAAGTCTTAGTCAAACACCACTTGTTTCATCTTTGATATATATATCATCTAGAGATGAATATTTTAATACTAATTGTTATAAAAACTCATAAAATAAATTTTCAATCACCAGATTTGAACAGTCAATGGCTAATTTCAAGATTCCTAAAAGTTAACATTTGCAAAAAAGATTGATTGTGTTAATTAGTGTTTACGAAATAGCTATTCAACATAATCATCGTATCAACCATGAACATAAAATAAAGCACACAAGCATATTTACATGATTCGGCCAACAACCTATATATATCCGTGGGATCTAGTCTAAACAAAACAAATCCATTATAACAAACATTCAAGGTTCATTACAAAGTTGAAGTAAATCATAAACAAATGTAAAACTCTCACTGCTTCACGACACTCTAACTCCGCCCTTTGGATGATCCAATGTTTTGCCACAGCTTGCTTGAATTCAAAAAACCTCTTGAATGGCTTGAGCTCCACTCAAGCTTTAATGTCAAAGTCACCCTTCATCTCCACAACTTGAAATCCCTTCAAGTTTTCATCGATGGAACCATGTTCCAACACACTCAAACAACAAAGATTAGATAAGAACTTTGAGCAACAATATCAACAATGGAACCTGACCTAAGATGAATAAAACCTCTAAGTATTTTCAAAGAACAACATAAGGAATATTTATGTTCAAACGTAAATGCAAGGATGAAGAAAATTATAAAGAAACCTTGTGCAAGAAATCCTTAGACAACCAACCGATATCTGACTTCTAATGTGCCCACATATTTTACGATAAAACCAGATTAAGGAAATGTGCACACATCAATGTAGAGTGTCATGGCAAGTGTAAACTACATAAATGATTGTGCTTAATTAAATAGATGTGCAAACATCATAAATGAATGTGCACACACAACTTCATAAGTTGACAAAAATACTTACAATTTATAACCTATAATAATGTATATTATCAATTGACATAGTTTAACATTATTATTAATTTCATAAATAAATAANAAGGAATCAGTGATCTATCGAGGAACCCCTGGTGATGTTTTCGATTTGTCGGTGAATGGACAGCTGCCGTTTGGCAATCGACGGTAGTCGGTGACTCTCGGTGTAAGCACTCTCACACTCTCAGTCTCTCACTCGAAGTTGAAGTCGGCACACAGACACTTAGTTGAATGTTAGGGACCTAGGGTTTCACTATTTTAGGTCTTTTGTTATAAACCGGTTTAAAAAAACAGTTACGGTTAACTGATTTTTTTGAGGGGTTAACCGGTACGCAAACCGAAAAACCGGTTCACAGATTTTTTTAGACCGAATTGACCCGGTTTCAATAAAAAAACCACTTTTTCGGTTCAGTTTCAATCCTGTTTTTCTATTCGGTTCGGTTTCCAACTTTTTCCACCACTAGATCTAACAGAGACATTTTGTCACCAAAACTTTCTCCATCAAGTCTTGGTCAAGCGCCACTTTTTTCATCTTTGATATATATATCATCTAGAGATGAACATTTTAATACTAATATTATTATAAAAACTCATAAAATAAATTTTCAGTCACCAGATTTCAACAGTCAATGGCTAATTTCAAGATTCCTGAAAGTTTGCGGAAAAGATTGATTGTGTTCATTAGTACTTGTGGGCGTAGCTATTCAACATAATCATCATTTTAACCATGAGCATAAAATAAAGCACACAACAAATTTACATGGTTCAACCAACAACCTATATATATCTATGGGACCAAGTCTAAACGAAGCAAATCCACTATAACAAATATTCAAGGTTCAATACAAAGTTGAAGTTAATCATAAACAAATGTAAACTCCACCCTCTAGATAATCCAATGTTCTGCCACAACTTGCTTGAATCCAAGAAACCTCTTGAATGGCTTGAGCTCCACTCAAGCTTTAATGTCGAAGTCAGCCTTCAGCTCCACAACTTGAAATCCCTTCAAGCTTTCATTGATGGAACCATGTTCCAACACACTCAAACAATCAAGATTAGATAAGAACTTTGAGCAACAATATCAACAACGGAACCTGACCTAAGATGAATAAAACCTCTAAGTATTTTCAAAAAACAACATAAGGAATATTTAGGTTCAAATGTAAATGCAAAGATGAAGAAAATTATAAAGAAACCTTGCGCAAGAAATCCTTAGACAACCAACCGATAAAGTCTTACTTTTCACCTACTTGCTAGAATCACTTTTGAAAGGCAAAACAAATTTCCAAGACCACATTTGAAATATTTGACATCTTTATTTGGACCACTCACACATATTTCAGTCCTAGATAAAATCCTAACAACCAATGAAAATTCGACATTTGTACTAAGGTTTAACTAAATGACTGTTTACACATCTGACTTCTAATGTGCCCACATATTTTATAATAAAACCAGATTAAGGAAATGTGCACACATCAATGTAGAGTGTCATGACAAGTGAAAACTACAGAAATGATTGTGCTTAATTAAATAGATATGCAAACATCATAAATGAATGTGCACACACAACTTCATAAGTTGACAAAAATACTTACAATTTATAACCTATAATAATGTATATAATTAGTAATATATATATATGAAATCAATAATAATGTTAAACTATGTCAATTGATATAATGATTATTGAAATAGAATATTAATATATGAATATAATTATAACCTATAATTAGTATAATAAATATTAGGATAAATTAGTAAAATAAGCTATAGAAACTTGTATTTAGACAGGATCAATTTGAAAAGCAAACAAATCTTATGTCTTAAAACATTTTAGATTGTTTAAGTTTCAACTGGAACCAAAATCGAATAAGTATATCCCTTTGATTCAATTTATCCCTTTTCATTTGAAATAAATGCAAAAGTTTGAGGAATCTCTCAATTCTCTCATTTATTTTCCTATTATTTACTTTACCTTTCTTGAGTTATTATTAAAAAGCACCACTAAGTTATAACACGTTATCAGCACGAAGAGCTTATCAAGTGTAATGATGCACGCCTATTGAAAGATGGACTTTGAAACTGAGACATCGATATCCAATAATGGTGGAGACATTTGTATAGTAGACAGTGCAACAACAACACCATCCTTTGTGATAGAAAATATTTCTCAGGTTTAACCTTTACTGAAACTAAAATATATACCATATCAGGATCTACAAACATTATTAAGAGCTCCGGAAGAGCAAAACTCGTGTTACCAAGCAGAATTAAATTAAGTATCCATGATGCTTTATATTCTAACAAATCCAGAAAAAAAAATTATGATGCTTTATATTCTAACAAATCCAGAAAAAAATTTTCTTAGTTTCAAAGATATATGACTCAATGGATACTACATCGAAACTTTGAGTGAAAAGGATTAAGAGTTTTTATGCATCACTGCTAATATTTCATGCTAAAAACATGTACCGGAGAAACTCCCTACTTTCTCATCAGTGTTATATTACACATTCCTGAAGAATGTTGAAGTCTATGCAGTTATGAACCAGAAGTTCGCTGATCCTGA